TGGCTAATATCATAGCATACAGCTAGTTTTGTATCACATGGCTAGTATCATAGCACATAGCTATTATAGCACATGGCTAGTATCATAGCACATAGCTAGTGTCATAGCACACGGCTAGTATCATAGCACATGGCTAGTATCATAGCACATGGCTAGTATCATAGCACATGGCTAATATTATAAAACATACCTATAATACATGTGCTATAATACTAGTATATGGCTAGTATTATAGTACATGGCTAGTATCATAGCACATATCTAGTATCAAAACACATGGCTAATATGACAGCATATAGTTAGTATTATAGCACATTGCTAGTATTTGAGCACATATCTAGTATCATAGCACATGACTAGTATCATAGCACATGGCTAGTATTATAACACATAAGAACATAAGAAAGAAGGAACACTGCAGCAGGCCTACTGGCCCATGCGAGGCAGGTCCAAGTCTCCTACCGGCCTTAAGCCAATGCCCCAACCCGTCAGGGGGGGTACATTCCTTAAAGGAGAAACACGCAACTGACCTAGAAACCCCCAAACTATCAGGTCCAAAAACACCCCACCCACACCCATCATGTATTTATCTAACCCATTTTTTAAAATACAAAGTTTTAGCCCAATAAATTACCGGGGGTTTGTTTCCCCTCTTCCCCAACTCTATTACCAAACCATGCTTTCCTATTTCTTCCTGAATCAAATTTTTTTTCCCTTAAAAAACCCTTGCTTCGGTCCTTCCAGGTGATTTTTTCAGAACGTATTTTTAAACCCCTTTTTTATTCCCACTTCCCTTCCCTACACCTCAATACATGGGTGTTTTTTCACATGGCTATATTATAGCATATGGTAGTATCATAGAAAATGTACTATCGGGCATGGCTAGTTTCATAGCACATGGTTAAATCAAAGACTGGTATTATAGTACATGGGTAGTATCACAGCAATAGCTAGTGTCATACAAGGCCAAGCAATATTATATCAAAAACATAGCTAGTAGATAGCACATGGTTTGTTTTAAACACTGGTAGATTTTGGGCCTTTGGGCTTGTATCTTTGCACATGGCTGTATATGCTCATGGCTAGTATTATAGGGGCGGCTATATCATAGCACATGGTAGTATCAAAGCACAGGTATTTTACGCATTTTTCTAGTATCATGCACATGCAATTATAGACATGCTATATCAAAACAATGTCTATACAAGCCACAGTGTATCATAGCACATGGCTATATCATAACACTTTCTAGTATTTTAAAATGCCTAGTTATTGCCTTTGGTAGTATTATAGCACATGGTTGAATTTAGCCAATTTGTATCATAGCCCTGGCTATATCCAGCGCATGGTTTGTATTTAACAATCTTTGTAATAGCAATATTATTATCAAAAACACATGGGGAAGTTGATAGCACTTTCATATTAAAAACATGGCTGTATTTGAGCACATATCTAGTATCATAGCACATGGCTAGTATCATAGCACATTGCTAGTATTATAACACATGGCTAGTATCATAGCACATGGTTAGTATCATAGCACATGGGTAGTACCATAGTACATGAATAGTATCATAGCACATAGCTAGTATCATAGCATGGCTAGTATCAGAACACATGGCTAGTAACACAGCACATGGCTAGTAACATAGCACATAGCTAGTATTATAGAACGTGGCTAGGATCATAACAAATGGCTAGTATTATAGCACATGGCTAGTATCAAAGCACATGGCTAGTATCATACCACGTGTTTAGTATTATAGCACATGGCTAGTATTAAAGCACACGGCTAGTATCATAGCACAGGGCTAGTTTTGTAGCACATGGCAAGTATCATAGCACATGGCTAGTATTATAGCACATTGCTAGTATTATAGCACATGGCTAGTACCATAGGACATGACTAATATCATAGCACATGCCTAGTATCATAGCATGGCTAATATCATAACACATGGCTAGTAACATAGCATATGGCTATTATTATTGCACATGGCTAGTATCATGGCACATGGCTAGAATTATAGCTCATAGCAAGTATCATATCACATGGCTAGTGTCATAGCACATGGCTAGTATTATAGCACATGGCTAGTCGTATAGCACATGGCTAGTATCATCGTATCACATGGGTAGTAACAGAACACATGGCTAGTAACATAGCGCATGGCTAGTATCATAGCACATGGCTAGTATTATAGAACATGGCTAGTATCATAGCACGTGGCTAGTATCATAGGACATGACTAGTATCATAGCACATGGCTAGTATCATGGCATGGCTATTATCATAATACATGGCTAGTAACATAGCACATGGCTAGTATTATAGCTCATGGGTAGTCGTATAGCACATGGCTAGTATCATCGTAACACATGGGTACTAACAGAGCACATGGCTAGTAACATAGCGCGTGTCTAGTATCATAGCATATGGCTAATATTATAGAAGATGGCTAGTATCATAGCACGTGGCTAGTATTATACCACATGGCTAGTATCATAGCACATGGTTAGTATTATAGCATATGGCTAGTATTATAGAACACGGCTAGTATCATAGCATGGCTAGTATCATAACACATGGCTAGTAACATAGCACATGGCTAGAACATAGCACATGGCTAGTATCATAGCACATGGCTAGTATCATGGAACATGGCTAGTATCATAGAACATAGCTAGCATCATATTGCATGGCTACTATCATAGCACATGCCTGCTATCATAACACATGGCTAGTATCATAGCACATGGCTAGTATTACAGCACATGACTAGTATCATAGCACAAGGCAAGTATCATAGCACATGGCTAGTATCAGAGCAAAAGGCTAGTAATATAGCACATGGCTAGTATCATAGCACATGGTTAGTATCATAGCACAAGTCTAGTATTATAGCACATGGCTAGTATCATAGCACAAGGCTAGTATCATAGCACAAGGTAGTATCATTGCACAAGGCTGTATCATTGCAACATGGCTGGTGTTATCGTAGCACAAGGCTATATCATAAGCACAAAAGGCTAGTATCATAGCACTAAAGCTAGATCATTGCCCAAGGCTAGTATCATAGCATATGGCTAGTACTCATAGCACATGGCTAGTAATATAAGCACATGGCTGTATCATAACTCATGGTTAGTATCATAGCACAATGCTAGTATCTTAGCACAAGGCTTGTATCTATAGCGCCATGGCATGGATTGTAGCACAAGGCTAGTATCATCAGCACAAGGCTAAGATTATAACACAAGGCTATATCATAAGCACAGGGCTAGTATCATTAGGACACATGGATAGTTTTAGCACAAGGCTGTTTTATAGCTCAAGGGTAGTATTATTGCACAAGGGATATTATTATAGCACAAGGCTAGTATCATAGCACACGGCTAGTTATCATAGCACTAGGCTTGTTTCATAGCCACATGGCTAGTATTATAGCCTCTGGCTAGATAAGCACCATTGTAGTATCATAGCACAAGGCTAGTATTTAGCCACCGGTAGGATTATAGCACAAGGTAGGTACACACTGGAACAAGGCTAGTATCATAGCACAGGCTAGTATTATAGACACATGGCAATATCATGAGCACATGGCTAGTATTTAGCACATGGTTAGTATCATAGCAACATGGTAGTATTATAGCACAACGCTAGTATTATGCACAAGGCTAGTATCTTAGCTCAAGGCTTGTATTATAGAACAAGCTAGTATCATAGCACATGGCTAGTTTCATAAGCACATGGTAGTATCATTAGCACAAGGCTAGTATTTAATCTGCACATGGCTAGTATTTATTATAGTACAAGGCTAGTATATTTAGCACATTGCTAGAATTATAGCACAAGGCTAGTATATAGCCACAGGCTAGTATCATAGCACATGGGTAGTATCATAGCACAAGGCTAGTTCATAGCACATTGCTAGTTTTATAGAACAAGGCTTGTATTATAGCACAAGGCTAGTATATAGAACAAGGATTGTATCATAGCACCATGGCTAGTATCATAGCACATGGCTAGTATCATAGCACAATGGCTAGTATCTTAGCACTTGGCTAGTATCTGTAGACACAAGGGCTTAGTATCATAGCACAGGTAGTTTTTATAGCAAAAGGCTAGTATCTATAGCACGAGGCTAGTAATTATAGCAGTATGGCTAGTATCATAGCACAAGGATAGTATTATAGCAACAAGGCTAGCTAGTATTTAGCCACAG